GTCTGAGGTCTCAGGAGCTTCCTGTGCCATTAAGCTGCTAAAACAAAAGGGACATGGGGGAGGGGGGGAGAAAGGGAGGAGGCGAAGGTTGCTTCAGAGACGAGTTCAGAGGTGGAGAAGGAGAGAGAAAGGCTATCGGAAAACTCCCAATACCTCACACAAATTTACTCCTGGACTTCTCAATTAGGAGGCATGTTATCAAGATCTTCAGAACACTCCTGATTTTATAAGTTCATTAGCACGAGCTTTTAAAGGTGTGCCATTTATAGTAAGATCTCTCTGAAAAGAGAATCTTGTTAAAAACCAAAAGCAGGCTAATGATAAATAAAGCTTCAATTTGAGTATAAACTATATGCTGAGTGTTATATGCCGGTTTCCAAAAAATCTCTCAAGAAAGATCTGCTGGCTCTAATCCCTTAAATCTGAGACATGAGACTTATGGAATTCAGATCCTTGGAGCCAAAGAGATTTGAGAAGTCCAGTGGTCCATGGCCTGGATTTACATATATATTTTTAATGCTTGTATTAAAGGAAAAACTGAGGCTCAAAGAAGTTGTGAGAGTTACTGAGCTGGGAGTTCCAGAGCCACGAGTAGATCCCTGATTCTCTATTGTCCAGAGCCCTTTTCATCGAAACACACGAAGGCTCTCCTCCCAACCCTTCAAGCCAATGTGAAGGGTAGGGTCTATGAGTATTAAGGAATAACAGAGGGAAACAAATTTTAGATCAGGGTGAATTTCAGAGCTTACATGCCACTCCCTTTACTTGTGAAATGAAGAAAGTTTGTGAGTGGCTGAATAACCTTTCTAAAATTACTCAGGCATTGGTGACGTTAGCTGAGTCTGAAGCTTCTTGGTCACCACCCAGTCACCTTTCAGGTTCTCAAAGCTCCCTCAGGTGTCTGGTGGCATCTCAACTGAAACCACAGCCAGAGAAACGTCCTTAGGGCACCTCTGATGCTCAGTGAGGGTTCAATAAAAACCATAGTGGAGCTTCAGCCCTCACTGGGATGACACCTGTGTAAGTTACCAGGTTGACTGCAATAGGCTGAATGGTGGGCCCCCAAAAGATACATCCACATCAAATCTCTGGAACCTGGGATTGCTTGGAAAAGGGGTCTCTGCAGATGTGATTAAGCTAAGGATCTTGAGATAAGCAGATCACCCAGGAAGATCTGGGTGGGCCCTAACTGCAATGACAAGTGTCCTCAGAGAAAGGCAGAGGGAGGTTTGACAAAGAAGAGAAGACATGAAGGGAAGGCCACGTGACGTGACGACAGAGGCAGAGATTAGGGTTTTGCATCCACAGCCACCAGAAGCTGGAAGGGGCAAGGAAGGGCTCTCCACTAGAGCCTTTGGAGGGAGCATGGCCCTGCCGACACCTCGATTTTGGACTTCTGGCCTCTAGAACTATGAGAGGAGAAATTTCTACTGTTTTAGGCCAGCACTCTTATAGCAGACACAGGAAACTAATACATTTACAATCTCTATGGATAAAATAAGTCAGGGGAAAAAAAACCCCAAGGATCACAGAATGATAAGCAAAATGTGTTAAATCTATACAGGGGAATATTATTCAGCCGTAAAAAAGGAGATTCTGACACGTGATACAACATGGATGAGGCTTGAGGACACTATGCTAAGTGAAATAATCCAGTCACAAAAAGACAAATACTGTATGATTCCACTTATGTATTTAGAGTGGTGCAAGTTGTAGAGACAGAAATTCATAGGTAATTTCCAGGGGCTGGGGGGAGAGGGGAATGGGGAATTATTATTTAATGAGTATCGAGTTTCAGTTTTACAAGATGTAAAGAGTCATGGAGATGGAACAGTGGTGACAGGTGTACAGTATTATGCCTGTATTTAATACACTGAACTGTACACTTCAGATGACTAAAATGGTAAATTTTATATTATATGTATTTTACCACAGTAACAAAATACTCTAAGCAAGGATGACAGTCTTTATAATAAATCTGCAATCATGTTTCCCCACAAGGAGGTCAGAGAACGAAAGGCCTAGAGGAGGAAGGTGGACAGTGTGGAGACCAGTCCTGACTGATACTGGAAACCAAGCCAAACTGACCCCTGAGCCCCCCGTACCAGGGCGCTAACCCTGCAGGACATTTTTCTAGATCGCACACCCATCTGAGGGGGACGCCACGCCCACTGGGTGGAGCTTGAATCGACCCAGAACTCTGGTGCGAACTGCTCCCAGAAGTCCCAGCTCTGAAGGCCGTATGGAAAGCGTCCAAGCTTTCCTTCCAACTTACAAACGGCCCTCCACGAAGCCTGCAGCCAATCTGCTGAGGGGCCCTTGCGGCCACAGTGAGCACTGAAATACTCGGGCCTCTGTAGTAGGCAGATGTGTCTTCAAAACGGCATGTTCTTGGCCTTAGTTTTATTTTAGATACATTCCTTCCCACAGCTGTTGAACGAAATCTGAAGGTAATCCACCCCCCCCCAACCCCATCCCTTTGCCTCCCCGACTCATTTGGGGAACACGGTTCCATATGTGGACTGAGGAGATGGCTGTTTTGATCCGAGCCTTCTGCAAACGCGGCTGCCTCAAAGCCGGGAGCTATGTTCAGCATCTTCCCACAGCCAAACATCTGGGAAATGGTTCTGGTGCTTCCTTATTACTGTTTTAAAATAAAATTCCCCAATTGCTCCCAACTCAACTGGTTTATTTCAGTCCCACGCGGCAGTTCACACGTGGGAATGCTGCCGGGTCCCCCTCAGGCCTCCTCCTGAGTGTCCGAGGGCTCCGTGGAGGGACAAGGGACACATTCAGGGTACAGGCAGGGGAGCAGCCGTCACTGTACTTTGAGTCTTGATAGGGCAGCTGGACTTCAAGCTGCCCTTTGGATGGGTCACATCCATTTTTTCCATTCCTGGGAGGTGCTGCACCCCGGGCCAGAAGCCCAGCCTTGATGTACACTTGGCCTGACAATGGACACTTTTTTGGAAGGCCGTGAAAACGCCTCCTCCCACGCTGACGCTGACGGTGTGTGTGCAGGGTGGGGTCCTCCTCTCAGACCGCCACTGTCCGCTGTAGTCCCCTGACCGGCCTCCCTGTCCCCCCATCCCCCATCACTCCTTTTCCAGGCATTCAAAATAAATTTTTGGTGACATTCACACAACATAAAATTATCCATTTTAAAGCGAACAATTTCGTGGCATTTGGGGCATTCACAATGTGGTGCATCCCCCACCTCCACCTAGTTGCAAACCATTTTCTTCACCCCGGTTGGGTACCAATCAGCGGTCACTCCCCATTTCTCCCTCTCCGGGCAACCCCCAACCTGCTTTCCATGTCTATGGATTTACCTATTCTGCATATTTCATCTAAATGGGGTCATATAGTATGTGGCCTTTTGTGTCTGGCTTCTACTTAGCATGATGTTTTCAAGGTTCATCCACATTGTAGCATACGTCAGAATTCCTTCCTTTTAAAGGCTGAATAATATTCCAATGTCTATATACTACATTTTGTTCATCCATCCATCTGTGGACACTTGGGTTTCCACCTGGCTATTGTGAATAGAGCTGCTATGAACGTGGGTGTACACATATTTGAGTAGTCCCATCCATTCTTTATGCAACAATCTGATCCAATCACATGACACTCCTGCTTACTGTCACTTCAATGGCTTCCCACCACTCTTAGGATAAAGCGCCAATGTCCTCATGCTCTGGCGTCTCCCTCCTCCCACAGCATCCTCTCTCACACCTGCACTCCTGCCCAGCTGGCCTTTTGTTTCTTGTGCTGTGCTTGTCCTCGCCTGAGCTTCTGTATATGCCAGTCCCTCATGTTGGAACTCCCTTCCCCAGGGAAAGAGGCAACTGTACTGCCAATGCTTCCTTATCTCCCAAGTCCAAGGAGCTGCTCTAGGTCCTAGCACAGAGCCCATGCTTTGTTTGGTGGACAGAAAGGCATCACAGCTCCTGCTGGGAGATGAGGGGGTGCTATGCTGGACCTTGCTGTGGAATCCCATGGAAGCTGCCATAGGCCCCTGGGGCGGGGCTCTCGGATTTATGTCCTGTGTCTCTGAAACATGCCCTGCTGGGAAGTTTGAATGGGATTACGTGGATTCAGTGCCCTGGTGTCTGCTGAAGTGATGTGACAAGTGGTAGGACCAGTCAGTTGCCTTCCCAGCTGCTGGGTGCCCTGACTCACCTCTGCTCAGCACACATGCTCCACCCTGAAATGTGGGACGGCTCTGAGGCAATCTTCACCTTTCAGTCAGAACTGGTTAACACCCCACAGGCCTGTGGGAAGTGGGGCAGTGACTCTCTCTGAACTCTTGGCACCCCTGTAATACCACCGGTGGCCTCTAGCTCAAGAGTAGCTCCACTCAGCCCAGAGGCAGAAGCAGGTGGGGCCGCTGCTCAGAAAGCAGGAACTGAGTTCACTGGCATGAGGCAGTCGCACTTGAACTTGACAGGCTTCGCTCAGCCCGAGCCACAGGGTGTGCTGGGTCACACAGGATGTGCATTGCTCAGGGCGGGGAAGTCCACGCCTTCACCTTTCATCCACCCTTTCTTTGCTTAGCTTCAGGTCTGAGCCTCTGCTCCGAGTCTGCACACTCACACGCGCACATGCACATGCCAGAGCACACATCGTGCACATTCCCATGCGCACACGCACACACGAGTGCACATGCAGACATGTGGCTCTAACAAGCGCTTCGTTTCCTCTTTTCTGACTCCCCAAGATAAAAATGGTCTAAATAACTCTCCTTTCCACATGATAGCCCTTCTTCCTATTTTCTCCCTTCAAATTCTCCATCATTCCAATTTCCACATGAACATTTAGTAGAAACTGCCGGTGAGGACAGTAAAACACGTTAATTCTCTAAGAGATTTGTCATCTGCAAGTACTTTCCCCCATAAGTGAGAAAAAGATGGGGAAAATGGAAAGAGAGACTGTCATGTGTTTCTGGGGTCTCTGAGGAAAACGACAGTGGCTTTGAGGGGAACGCGTCTGTCACTTACCTCCAGGACCTTCCCTGTGATAAACTGGTGACAGGCTTCACATTTCACCCCAAACAGCCCCTGGTAGTCCTTTTCGCAATACGGAGCGCCATCCCTACAAGAGGAAAGAGTGTTCAGCTCCCGAGATGGGGCCCAGAGGCAAGGAAGACACCGAAGCCACATTTCTCTGAGCCCTTTTCCACAGGCTTTCTCCCTCACCCAGCCTTCACATGCCTGGAGGTCTGGTCAGACATGATCAAAACCCACGCAACCAAATGATCCCGAGAGAGCACTGTGGTTCTCCAGGCTTAACTCAAAAGGTAACCATTGAAACTGTTTTCTCCAGGCTACATAACAAAACACAAACAAAGAAAAAAACCTGTATTTCATGGACTCCAGTTATTATCCACCCCAGCGTCTGACTCTAACGTTAAGGAATCCGTCACCTGGAGGGCTGTTTTGTGCATTAGTCCTACCAGGCTCAGTGCCTACGACCCTGGGTTTTTGGGGGTTAGAAGTGGGGGGTGGGGCTTATAAATATGTGTAAGCCCTGCCTGGAAGGAGGACAAAGGTTTTACTAGTTCCAAATAGAGAAAAAAAAAACTAGTGAAAGCAAAATTATTAAATGCCTCATTGGTTACGACATACAGCATAACATTACATCAGCTCTGTTAATTGTTAAATTAGGCAAAGATTAACATTTCATTAAATTTATAGTAGGCAAACTATGGCAGAAGAATAACATTCTTTGCAAGAGTGTGATAGCCAGCAGTTCTTATTGCCCATGGGATTCATTATGTCCGATGGGTTGGGGTGTGACCCCCAGAGCAGGGCCTACGGGGAGGAGGGGCCCACTGCACTTACTTGCTGATGTACTCCCCAGTGAGGACCTTCCCGCAGGACTTGCATTTAAAGCACCCCAAGTGCCACTGCTTTTCCAGAGCCAGCAGCGCCTGCCCGTTCTTGATGTCTCTTCCGCAGCCAGCGCAATCTGGAAAGAAGCAGCACCCAGGAGTGACTACGTTGGTTTTGCTCAATACAAGCACTCAGGCCAGCTCTGAAGCCCGGCGTGCACCCATTGTCCACTCAGTAAACATTTACTGAAGCACCATTTCTGTCCCTGCACCAAATCTTTCCCAGCAGCCTCGCAGGCCCCATCCTCACACAGCATGGCAACTTCATGAGCCGTAGTGGGACCCAGGGGACGGGTGTCCTTGCTCGGTTTACTTCCTTGGGGGTTATTTAAATGCCCTCCGAGCTCCAGCTGGCCCAGAGAATATTTCATTAGTGTGCCTTAGCTGTGACTTTCAGAATGCCCTCACAGGCCTTTATTAGCTGAGGACCATGGGAGCAGCAAAGCTGGATGCCTCACTTAACACTATATGCGATTCCTGGAACGCGGCCCATGAGCCTCATTTTTGTAAACAGGATTCCACTTCCTTCTCAACCTAAACCAGACTTTCGAAGATGTGTAATCATCCATTCAACGGCTCCGAATGCCTTAGCTTTCCTGTTCTTGAATCTTCCCTAAAATTACCCAGCACAAGCCCAAATCCTATAAGCGTTCCATCCAGAGACGGCTCATAACTCCTCTGGGTTATCTCCCTTGCTGCAGCATTTAAGTAAATTTGACATCATCTTTTATTTATTTATTTATTTTAACTATAAATGTGTTTGTAGTAATCTCTAGTCAGTGGGTATCAACATACCTTTAGACCCAGCAATTTCATGTCTAAGGTTTTACTCTACAAATAAATTTGCAAAAGAGTGTGTTCCTGACGTATACATATACATTCTCTGCAGCATTTCTGTAACAACAAAACTGAATATAACCTATGCGGCTATTGATGAGGGACTAATTAGTTATAGTATACTAAAAAATGAAATACGAGGTGCTGTTAAAAAGAAAGAGGTACATTTGTGTGTGGACATGGAAAGACATCCAAAATAGAGTAAGTAAAAAGAGCAAGCTGTAGAACAGTATGCATAGCATAAGCTTACTAGAAAATAGTAAAAAAAAGAAAAAAGAAAAAAAAGGGTGTGTCTACACACATCTTATATATGAATAGAACATTTTTTTGAAAACATGAGAACTCTTATGATACTTCCCTCTGAAGAAAGACTTTACCTTTTACTTCAACATCCTCTGTTTAAATTTTTGTTTTGCATGAGAACGTAAAAAATGAGTAAGTAAATATAAAGTTAAAAATATATCTGCTATATAAGTTATGAATATTGCGTATCAGAGTTTCTTTAAGTATAGCCCATTATAAGCTGAGAGTGTATCATGTGGTCACAAAGCATTACATATATATATATTTTTTAGCTGAGCCATCCTGCCCCCTGTTGGCAGCTCAGCTCGGGCCGGGAATCGAACCAGAGACCCTGTTGCTCAGAGCTCGCACTCTTGAGCAAGCTCTTAACCAGCTGAGCCACTCGGCCGGCCTTGCATTACATATTATTTTAAAAGCTGGGATTTATATGTATCCCAGCATCTCACCAAAAATCTTATAAAGGGGATCGCACATCTAGTAGTTCACTATGAAGATAAAAATAGAAGGCAATAATATTTGTCCATAAACACAATTTTTAGAGGTTAGGAGCATAGAATGCATGTAAAATGAATAGACAGGTTTTAATCCAAGTTGAATTCAAACTTGTCTTTATTATTCTGATTAGACCATGCCCACAAGGTGGCAGTAAAGATTTAAAATAATAAGGGAGACGCTGGTTGATAGGATTTTTTTAATGTAGAAAATAAACTTCAGAGATGGCTTTTCAATCCTACAACTGAAGACAGTTGGGTTCAGAGAGGTTGGCATAGCTGTTCGAGGTCTCCCCCTGCACAGAGGTGAGGTCCATGGAGATGGAAGGCACGTGGATGGTAGGAACGCGGGCTTTGTGCACTTAGGAAGATTTGGACACCACTTTGGGCGAGTTCCCCTTTCTGAACCCTAAGTACTACGTTCCTGGGATCTTAATGCACGTATATCCCAGAGCTCTGAAAGCAGCTGAGACACAATTTAGGAGCAGTAACGACGTCTCTGGTCTTCTGCACTGACTGAGGGCTTTCAATGAACCAGGCGCTGTGTGGTTACAGAGGTGGTACCATTTATTCTTCACAGTCATTTAACCCAAGCGCTTTGCCGCCTGGAAGCCTCTGACTCACAGGTGGCATCCTGTACCTCTCAGATCCTCCGCGCTCTGCAATCTCCTTTGGAGGGCAGATGTTCGGCAACTGATTTTGATAATGGCTGACAGAAAAGTGTGCACCAAATGCGGAATGCCAAGAGCCAGCCAGCCAGTAAGGCTGGGCTGGAATGAGCTTCCACTTCCCAAGCCTTAAGACATCCATCAAGCAAGTCAACAAAGGCCACCTCCTAAAAAGTAGAACACTGGCCCACATCAGCGGATGCAAAGTGTTCTGGTGCACTCCACAGAGGCTGCCCATTCATTCTTCTCTGGACAAAACCATATTCTCCACTTAAGGCTGATGTCATGCTGAAGAAAGTGGGGAAAGACACAGACAAAAGGTTGGTGCTGGATCAGTCACCCCTCTGTGCTCACTCCAACTAAGCTCCTTTATAAAGAACAACACGTCCTACCCTTTATCTTCACAGTTTTCAGCTGTTGAGAAAATTGTTTCCACATCACAGAAGCAGCTGCTGGTAAATATAGAAAGCTGGTGATTGGCACTGGAATTATTGCCAACGTCAGGAATAGGTGACTATGGAGTGGCGTCAAGGAAATCAAACCCTCTAGCAACTAGCCAATATGCTACCAAGGACAAATAATCACCAAACGTGAGAAAAGAAAAACAACAAGAAACGTGAACACTTCATCCCTAGGCCTTTCATTCTCCACACCAGCAGCCAGGAGTAAAGCAGGGATTCAGCTGGTCATGTTTAAGCTCCATCCTAAACATGGACGCTCAGCTCCATCTCAACAAGTACACACCTGCTTCCACATGTATATCATTTTGTTCAAAGGCAATAAAGGCAATACATATCCCTGAGAACAGGGATCCTGCCTGTCTCCTTTAATATACAGGAATACCTTGGTTTGTGTGCATAATTCGTTTCAGAAACAAACTACTCGTATTGCAAGACATCGCTCATTTACCAAGTTAAAATGTATTAGAAATGTTTGCTCGTCTTGTGGAACACTCACAAACCAAGTTACTTGCAATCCAAGGTTTTACTGTCTTTTTTTTTTTTTTTTTTGCATAGGGCCATGGACACCTGGGCTTCTAAACTATTGGGTTGTCAGAAAAGTCATGACGTATTTTGTCTGTTTTTCAAAGGTCATTTATTTATATAAAGAGCAAAGATCAATCAATGATATATTGCCTGTTTTGTTCAATAACCTTTTGCCATCTTTCAGTGAGCTTTATAATTCCTCGTTCATAGAAGGACCTGTCTTTATTTGTGAAAAACTGAACAAGGTGATGATTTATGGCCTCATCTGAATTGAACCTTATACCACACAAAGAGTTTTGAGGGGAGTGAAACAAGGGGAAGTCAGACAGCGCAAGGTCAGGTGAGTATGGTAGGTGTGGCAACACATCCCATCCAAGCTCCAGTAATTTTTGATGGGTGATCAAACTTGTGTGTGGTCTCGCGTTGTTCGCGATGGAACACAACTCCTTTACAATTAACAAGCTAACGATGTTTCTGGATGATGGATTCATTCAAACTGTCCAATTGCCAACAGTACACATTTGAATTGATTGTTTGGCTCCTTAGTAGGAGCTCGAAAAACACGATACCGTTAAAATCCCACCACACTGAGAGCATAACCTTCCTCTGATGAATGTCTGCTTTCAATGTCGTTTGAGGTGAATCATCATGTTGGGACCAAGACCGTTTGCGCACCACATTGTTGTAAAAAATCCACTTCTCATCACCAGTTATCAGTCGCTTCAAAAAAGGATCGCTTTCCTCATGTTTAATGAGCATATTGCAGATGTTTATACGCGCCATCAAATGAACTTCTTTGAGTTCATGCGGAACCCAAATATCGAGGTTTCTTACGTATCCCAGCTTCTTCAGGTGGTTGTGAACGCTTGAATGATGGATGTTCAATGTTTCTGCAATCTCTCGTGTCATGTAACGTGGGTTTGACTCAATCAATGCTTTTATTTTGTCTTTATCAACCTCGGTGGGCCTCCCTGACCCGAGGAGTGTCGTTGAGATAAAAATCACCAGCACGGAATTTCACGAACCATCGTTGGCACTGATGTTCTTGTAGAGCATTGCCACCGTAAACTTTATGCAATTTTTCACAAGCTTGATGCGCGTTCTTCCCTTTATGGAGGCAAAACTGTAAAATATGGCAAAAATGCACAGTTTGGTTTTCCATTTTCAACTTGTTATAAAATCTCCAAAACTCAACCAAATCACTCAATTTTTTTTTCAGAATGAAGCTAGAACTGTCAGCTGTCAAATGACATAGCAATAACATAGATGCGAATGACTCTAGTACTTCCAAAAACGAACTAGTGCCATCTGTTGCTAGTATGTGTCACGACTTTTCTGACAACCCAATATTTAAGTTGAAGAAAGTGACAAATGGCTCTCAGGAAGGAAACCGGTGTTCCCAAGCTAAGAAAGATGTCATCACTTGGGAAGCACTTAAGGTTCTGTCAACCTGAATCCTATGTTCTCCTTGAGAACTATTTCTGCCTTCCTAGAATTTCCCATTTGGGAAGAGTAAGGGCCAAAAAGATGTCTTATTCTATGAAGATGCCACTCTGGAGAAGGCTGAGGACCTGGAGCTCTAGAAAAGGGAACTGCATAGCTACTAAATTCCCATTCTCCCTGCCTTCCCAGGCCTGCATGCTTCAATCTCACCTAGAACCAAGAATGAAGGTGAAAACTGCCATTTAGAGTGGCTACACAGGTGGGGTCAAAGCTTTCAAAATACGGAATGGGACTTTCCCTAGTGTCTTGGAATTTTTGGCTATAGTCTTAGGGCTGAAGACAGTGGTGA